CCCTCTCTTTACTCAGTTGTAAGGTCTCAAACCTGATCCTGGGTTTTTTCCCCTGCCATAAATACCTGGATATCATCATATCCCATTCTATGAATTGTTTGGTTGGTATTGGCACTGGAAGATTTTGGAAAAGATAGAGCAATCTTGGCAGAATGTTCATTTTAATGGACTCCACCCTGGAGCTTAAGCTCAAAAAAGGGATAACCTTCCAACGTGAAATATCGGATTTCAACTGGGAATTTAAGGGGTTATAATTCAAATCAAATAATTTTGTAATATCCTTTGTTAAGTTTACCCCTAAGTATCTGATTGATTCTGCATCCCATTTCATTTTGTATTTGCTTCTGATGTGATTAGGTGGGTAATAATTAAAGGTGATTACCTGTGTTTTTTGTATATTAAGTTTATATCCTGAGTACATCCCATACTGTTCTAGCAGGTTCATAAGCTTTGGAAGTGACTGAGTGGGTTGTGATAAATATATCAATACATCATCCGCAAATAAGGCCAATTTATTTTCTCCTGATGGCATATTTATTCCTTTAATGTCTGTATTTTGTCTGATCCATTGAGCCAAGGGCTCAATAAATAGAGAGAAGAGGAGAGGTGAGGCACAGCAGCCTTGTCTGGTTCCTCTTTCAAGGATGAATGGATTAGATAAGTCACCATTAATTTTTATTTTTGCAGACGGTTTGTCATATAAGGCTTCAAATACTTCAATAATAGATTTATGAAAGCCGAATCTTTCTAAAACTTTATACAAAAAAGACCACCTGACCGAATCAAAAGCCTTTTCGGCATCTAGGCTAATAATGGCTGATTCTATTCCTTGTTCAATAATCTGATCTATAATATGCAAAGTTCTCCTAGTATTATCCTGTGTTTGTCTTTGTCTCACAAAACCAGTTTGGTCGAAGTAGATCAGATCTGGTAATATATTATCAATTCTCTTGGACAGTATAGTTGTAAATAATTTATAGTCAATATTCAATACACTAATTGGCCGGTAATTGCTGCACTCCAACTTGTCTTTTCCATCTTTTGGTAACACAGAAATAATGGCATATCTCCAGGAGGCCGGAATTTCTTTCTTCTTCAACACCCAATTAAAAGTTCTCAATAGTACTGGAGCCAGTGATTCTTTCATAGTCCTGTACCATTCAGAGGTGAAGCCATCTGCGCCCGGCGACTTCCCTGTTTTCAATTTACTTATTGCTGCATTTAATTCTCCTATTCCTATTTCAGACAATAGTTTGTCATTTTGTTCGTTGGTAACGGTAGGTAAGTTAAGAGTGGCTAAAAATGATTCAATCTGAAGGTCATTATTCATTTTTGGTTGGGAGTACAACGATTTATAGAACATTTCAAAACTTTGCTGAATTCTCTCTGTATGTGTCTCAATGTTCCCAGAGTAAGGATTTCTTATTTTATGTATTGAATTGTCTGCTTGTTGTTTGCGTAATCTGTAAGATAGGAGTTTGAGAGATTTTCCACCAGCTTCATAGTAACGTTGTTTTGTAAATAACAGCATTTTCTGTATTTCTGAAGTATTGATTTCATCTATTTCCTTTTTTATTTTGTTCATTTTTAATCTGGTTTCCTTATTTAGAGTCTCTACATGGTCTCTTTGTAATTCTTTTAATTTCTCTTCCAAATTAATGAGCCTTTCTTTTCTGAGTTTCTTTTCATACGACGAGATAGCTATTATTTTCCCTCGGAGTACCGCTTTCAGTGCATCCCAGAGCACAGATGGCGTCACCTCCCCATTATCATTTAGCTCCAGATATGTTTTAATTTCTTTCCTAATTTTTTCTTTAATCTGTGGGTTGTTTAGAAGGTTTGAATTCAGGCGCCAAGGTAAAGATCTTGGTTTATTGTCTAAATTTATTGACATGTATATAGGGCTATGGTCAGATAAGGCAATCGGACCAATATCACATTGCTTTATTCTGTGAAAGTCCTTACTAAAGGTGAAAAAATAATCTATTCTGGAGTAGACTGCGTGGGGTGAGGAGAAGTGGGTAAAATCTCGGCCAGACGGGTACAATTCTCTCCAAACGTCGATAATTCCCACTTCTTTCATCAAAGCATTCACTTTCTTGCTGATTGCATTTGAGTCTGACTTTCTATTGGAGGAGTCTAATCGAGAATTCAAACGAATATTAAAGTCTCCTCCACTGATTAAGATGCCCTGGCTTTTTGTAGTCATTATTTCAAATATTTTCTTGTAAAATAGCCAATCACTTCCGGGAGGGACATAGACATTTAGGAGGCTCATTAGGGCTCCGTTGATTCTCCCAGTAACCAAAACAAATCTTCCTTCTTTGTCCCTAATTTCTGACACGTGTTCATATTTAACTTGACCAGATATCAATACAGCCACTCCTCTGCGCCGTCCTGATTTGTGAGAAGATGAGTATATGTATTTGAAACCCATTCTGTTTAGCTTATTATGCTCTAAATCACTTAAATGCGTTTCCTGTAGGAAAGCGATTTGAATTTTTTCTTTTTTTAATTTGGATAAAATTTTCCCTCTTTTGATTGGACTGTGTAAACCATTAACATTAAAAGAAGCTACTTTTAAAGTTTTACCTTGCATGTATGTGAACAAAAATCAGCCTCCATATACTTCCTAGGAAAGCCCCCCTTCCCTGAAGGAACTGACAGGGAGTGAACATAGAAAAACAACATTGAACCAAAAATGTAAAACAGATAAACATGTAATATAACAAAGCTGTGTATGGCTTCCACTTCAGAGGTCTTTGTTGTGACCCTGTTCAAGTCTCTAGGGAAAGCCCCTCCCCGTGTCCAGAAGAGGGGGCCCTTACTCAGGTTAGCTGCATCAGAGTCCCTTATTGCCCCCTGTGATTCTTACATTTTGTAAATAACATTATTAACCAGAATAACCAGGTAATATAGCCTTTTCCCCATTTAAATTTAGGTTTTTATATTTGTAAATGCACCTACCCGATCCATCAGACATTGGGGGGAAAAACATCAAAAAGGGGGGCTCATCTACCAGACAAAAATGACCAATCTTAGCTTAAGTTGTTGGAGGTGAGGTCCGCCTGAAAGACTGCAGTCTCTCCTTGAAGTTAGACTCTCGTCTGGGGTGGGATGCGCGTCTCCCCCTTCGCTGGCTGCTCCTCTCCCACGTCAGCTGCTGCAACTTGTCCATCAGAGTCTCTGGAGGTTTGATGATCTCCACCGGGTATCCTCTGTTTGACATGTCAATTGCCGCTTCCTCGGCGCTCTCGTAGATCCGGGTTTCATCGTTATATTTAACTTTAAGCCGCGCTGGGTACAGGGTTTGGAAAGGGATCTGGCGATCCTTCAGGATCTTGCGTATTTCTGTATATGCCCTTCTTTTCTGAAGAATACGCGGTGCGTAGTCGTTATCCAGGTTTATTCGCCTCCCTTGCCAGGTAAAGCCCCTTTTCTGCCAAGCTGCGCGGAGAACATTTTCCTTTGTTTTGAAGCTGAGGAATCTCACCAGGATGGATCTTGGTGCTGCGTCCTCAGGTGGCTGTGGACCGAGAGCGCGGTGCGCTCTCTCCAGCTGCAAAGGCGTCTCGTCGGGTATGTCGAGATTTTCGCGGAGTAACTTTTCCACAAATGAAGTCATGGATTGAGACTGCTTTTCGGCTCCCTCGGCGACCCCGTAGATCCGTATGTTTTCACGTCTAGAACGGCTCTCCTGGTCGGTTATTTTAGCATCTAGCGAGTTGTGTAGCTTTAGCATTTCTGCTAAAATATCCTCAGTGTTTTGGACTCGTTCCTCGACTTTCATTATTCGCTCTTCTGCCTCGTCTAGTCTTACGTTAGTCTTTAAAATTTCCCCCTTAATGTCCTCCAACTGTTGCTTGTTGTCCTGGCGAAAACCCCTCAGTTCCTGAAGGATCAAGTCCAGATCAGCCTTCTCTTCACCTGGCATTACATTAGCTTGTTTGCTAGCGGTGGTCTGCGTGTCACCTCGTGGTCTTTCGTCGTCATTTATTTCTGGCTGCTGAGTCCCCTTCTTGCCCTTCTGCCTGGTATCCATCGTTACCCCCGTTTTAACAAAGTCTATAAAGTTGAAATTTCGTTTTCTTGGGGGTAGTTCAATGACTTTCTAGAGGGTGCAGTCGGGAGCTCCTAAACTAAGCTGCCATCTTGTCTGTGTCCAACCCGGAAGCCGGCCACTAACTGTTTCACTTGCTCCTGAAACTTGCAGGCACCTCGTAGCCGTCAAACAACAGCGATATGAGCTGTGTCAGTGACCTGAACTGGACCCTTTGGTGTGCCGGCTCTGGCCTGTGTGCCATATATTTGACACCCCTGCTTGGTGCTTCCTTCCGCACCACCTGGCCAAAGGAAAAAAAGGTTTACCAAATGTGCTTTTTATGAAATTAATGAGTGTGTGCAGTATTTTTCTCCCAGCTGAATATCTATATTTTTTCTGGGTTTAGAACCAGTGCTGTTAAAGGTCCAGTGTGTAAGATTTAGGAGGATTTAGTGGCATCTAGTGGTGACGATCGCAGATTGCAACCAGCTGAAACTTCTCCTGGTCAGAATTACTTCAGTGTTCATTGTTCAGGAGGTTTTTACCAGGAGCTAATTTATCCACAGAGGTCTCTTCCTCTCCAAAACAAACAGACCAGCTGATTTAAACCAGTAAAAACACTGAACACAGCAGTTTTACATCACAAATCATTGTTTCCCCTATCCTGTTCTGTACGTTGCTGATGGCCTGCTTGCCCAGTACCTGCTTATCTGTGCTCACCTTTTTTCTCTGATACCTTCATTTGTGCTCAATTTATTTCTGAGCCATATGTTCAGGTGGTTTTTACCCAGGTCTCTTCCTCTCAAAAACGTAAGGATCGCTGATTTTAACCGGTGAAAACATTTTCTAAGGCTAATTTTGAGGCAACAAAAACAAAATGATTCTTATTTTCAGGTGATCATACACTAAAGAAAACATACTTATTATATTATACACAATTTCTGCCAATATATCCCCCTAAATCTTACACACTCAAACCTTTAAAATAACTACAGCTCTTTTAAGTTTTCCAGAAACTCTGCTATTTCTCTACACATTGGGCTCCTGTCTTTGTCTTTAATCCTCTCCAGAAATCTGATGCTGTTCGCACGAAAGGAGGACTGATTCTGTATGGCTGCCGCCTTCATGTGATACTGTACTGCCTTTTGGTCCTCCTGATGATCGAAAAACAAACGTTTTGCGTAGTTGTTGTAAAGCATCTGTTTGTCTGTAGGTTCCAGATCATTTTCTATCCGATCCCTTTCTAGCAGTTCCTGAAATATCTGCTCAGCTTTTGCCTGGCTGTAATTTGACTTTGCGTATATATTAGCGAGGTCCACTTTCTTCATAAGTGAAGAATGAGGGTAAAGAGAAATCACCTCCTCGTGGAGGCGGATTGCTCTGTCTATCTTGCTTCGCTCTGGGAGTCTGTCACTAAAGTAAATGATCCATTTGTAGCAGAGTGAAGCACATCTCTTCAGGTAACGCTCATCTGGGTGTTTTTTCAGAGCCTCCTCTGCCAATGCAATGGCCTCATCTACAGAAATGTAGTTTCTGTAAATCCATAATAACGGTTTAATACCACCGTAGCTGCCGACAGGATTTCTCAAAACCTTTCTGGCTAACTCACGTGCTTCATCTTCAATTCTTTCTCCTAATTTAGCACATTGCTCAAGGTAGTAAGCAGCGAGGTACAAGTTCTCTGGATCTTGTTCCCTGGCGATTCTTAATTTTTCGAAGATTTCAGCCTCCACCTTTTCATCGATGTGCTTAAAAGCATGCACTAACTCTAAGGTGTGGCTGGTGTTCCACTCCACCATGTCCGGCTGCATCTTGATGGCTCTCTGGAAATAATCTACGATAAGCTTTTTCTCTCCGCTGAACTTCATCAGGGTCCAGGCTTTTTCAGCATAGATCTCTGGATGAAGTTCGTCCGGGGATGGAGATGGGTACTGATTAATCAGGGAGTCGACCTTTGACAGGTAAAACTGACTCTCTGCTTGGTTTCCCAGGTGGTGGTGCAGCCAAGCCAGGTTACCGTAGTTCACCATTAACCAGGGACCTTCATTTCTGTGTCTTATCTGGCGGAAGGCCTCTGCAGCCCTGCTGAAGAAACTCTGGGCATCTTCGGTGAACCCCAGCTTGTACTGAATTAACCCCCGCAGGTTGTAAATGTGACCTAGCCAGCTGTTTCCCTCCTCTGTGCCGATGTCCTCCAAGCTTTCACTGCGGCGTAAAAGCTCAGATCTGCTGGGGTCCAGATCCCAGGTGAAGTGGCACTGCAGGGCCTCGAGTTTGGACTCCAATGTTGTTTGACTTTGAGCAGCACTGATGGAGAATACAAACAAAAAATAGTAAACACATCATCAGCAGGTTCACAATATGTACTCTGAAGTTTAGACAACTACTGTTCAACTCATCTGGAGAAAGGAAGGAAGGAGGGGGGGAAAAGGAAGATAGAAATGGAGTAAGGAGCATTGGATGGACAGTCAGAAAAAAAGGAAGGAAGAAAGGAATGGAGTGGAGTAAGAGCCATCAAATTGGCAACAAGTAAACAAGTCGGGGGGAAAGGAATGGGCCAGTGAAAAAGGACATAAAACAGCCATCTATCCATTTTCCAATTTCTTTCTTAGCAACGTTTTCCAGCTCCTCCCGGGGGATCCTGAGGAGCTCCCAGGCCAGATGACATATAAAATCCAGCATAATCTGAGTCTACCCCAGGGCCCCCTACCTGTTGAAAGGAAAACTTCCAAATGAAGGCATCCAGGAGGATCCTAATCAGGAGCCCGAAACACCTCAACTGCCTCCTTTCGACGCGAAGGAGGAGCAGCTCTACTCTGAGCTCCCTCCAGGAGCCTCAGACTTGGAGGTACTGACTCTCATCCAGACTGTTTCATACTCATCTGCAAACCAACCAATGCATGGGCATGGTCCGATCAAGCCAACCAAACCAAAGAGCAGAGAAGCAAAAAAAAAAAACCCAACAAACTAGAATTACAGCCCCACAGCGCACCAGTCAAGTTTCTCTGCCAGTTCCATCCATGTCTTAGTGATGGGCAAAGCACTTCTTTAGATGTTACTGAATCACTAGAATCAGTTCATTAAAAAGATTTGTTCAAAAGATTAGTTCACCGAATCGTTCAGTGCTTGGTGGGAGGAGCCCTGACTGTGTACTGTATAGTCTGAGTCACTGAACTGATACACGGCTGAACGATAATTAAAGTGTATCACTGAGAAGAAATGATTTGAATCACTCAGGGATCGGGGTTACGTCGTTCACCGAGTGATTCCTCCCTGCACCCTACAGGACTCCTTTGGGGAGTCAAAACAGACGGATAGAAGCAAGGAAGAAAGGAAAAGGAAAGAAGGGAGGAAATGAGGAGAGAATAATGGGAGAAATTAGAAAAGAAAGCATGGATATGTTACTGAACTGGCCTACTGGGCACAGGCTCAGGGGCCCAAAGTATCAGGACCCCCCTGCAAAATGTCACCCAGAGATAGACACACAGACCAGAAAGAGACTGAATTTTACCACAAAGAAACAAAATGACTAAAAAGAGGTGCAAAATGACCACAAAGAGACTCAACATGATCACAGAGAGACGTGTGGCGACTCCAAAGCAAAACAACAGAAAGATGCGAAACAACTATGAAGTCTGTAGCCCCTTTTACAGTGCTAGATTTTCGGCGAATGTTGGGCCGTTTTACCGGCAAGCTGTGAGCGTTTAGACACACAGAGCCGGATTGGCAAGTTGACCTGAGGTGCCCAATTTCCCGCCTTGTAGGCTAGACATATTGGCAGAACCTATTTGGTTTAAAAAGAATGAGGCGTCCATTAAAGTTGACGACTTGTGGGAGGAGCTTTTTGATGACGCCGCACGTGCGACCCACTGGCAGTGGACTAACAGGAAACAGCTGATAGCAGGAATTAGCTGTAAAAATGAGCAACTGGGGAGACAAGGAATTGCACGCCCCCCTTGCCCTCGCAAACGAAGAGGCCATCATCTGCTCATGAGGTTAAGAAGACAGACAGGAACTAAGAAATGAGGAAGTGAGGAAAGATGACTGAGAGCAGAGTGTCTGAGGAAGCACATTACAGCAAAAATAATAATAACAATAAAATAATTAATTAATTCAATTCAAATGAAATACACATATTTAGAAATTCTCCAGTTTCTCCATCATAATTTTATTCCTGGCATTGTAGGATAAAACTTTAAGAAAACAGCTCATCAGTAATAAATATTTAATAAAATGAAATAAATAAAAGATTGAAAAAAATATCTCCCTGCATATCTGACTGAAAGGAACCAAGAGAGAGAAAAATAATTTAAATACATATATATATATATATATATTGGGCTCTGGGACACTGATGAGATATTGAATATATCATAATGACACCCATTTACTCATACAGTTACATAAAACACAGAAGCAGCTCCTCACCTCATCATTCAACTGTTTTTCTCAACTCCGTATTTCAGCAGTTGCTCTCAATGGTGCTTTGGGTTCTCTGGTCTGAAGTCAGTGATGTCCAACCTCTGCTTTGTTGTCAGGGCATTTGCATACTTACTTTGCGTACTTGGGTAGCCTGACTGCAGTGTCTGTAATGCCCCTTTACTTTCATTTCCCAGTAACAGGAACATACAGCACAATTTCTGAAACTGGAATTAGTGTCTCGTGGTTGTATGCCTCCGTCGTCCCCTCGACAGCACAGAGGAACTATACAAACAGCACAGTTTCAAGATTAATGTCACAATTTAGTATCTGACCAAATGTCTCGTCTTCTGCTCCTGAGGTATGACCTTTCATAATGGACAGAAAAGTGTTTAATGCAGAACATTATGATGTCACAGTGAAGTTGACCTTTGACTTTTTGGATATGAAATGTCATTATTTTATCCTGTTTGACATTTGTATTAAGTTTTGTCATAATTAGTGTATGAATTCTTGAGTTACGGCCAAAAACATGTTTTGTGAGGTCACTCTGACCTTTGACCACAAAAGTCTAATCGGTTGAGCCTGTTTTTTTTATTTCGCCTTTACACTTTTACACTGTGTTCATTGTTTTTCACCAAATCAGGGAGTCAAATTTGTTGTCAAAAGAATTTGGCAATAAGCTATTTCTGTTTCTGAAGTTGACCATTTCTTCCACAGCTTCTCCTCTAGATTTACAGAGAGATTGTGTCTCAAGGCTTAACGTACCTTGAGCTCCTTAATATAGAGTGTCAGTGAGCTATTAGGTAGCTAAAATAATTGCATGTGGTAATCTTAACATCATATCTTTATTACAGATTGCACACACACACACACACACACACACACACACACAGCAAAGACTGACGGTCAAACTATGAAGTCATATTGTCCCAGACTCCATAAACTCGACGGAGCAGTCAGAGGAATACAGGTCGTCTGAGTCAGGGTGAGTGTTAATACTAGACCTGCAAATAATGATTACTGTCATTATTGATTCATCTGCTGATTTTTATTCTGATTAATTGTTTAGTCTGTTACAGTGTCAGGAAAATACCCACCCAGTATGTAATCAGTGTCCTGTCAATAACAAGTTACTGACTGTATGGGTAATGTACTGACTTCATTATGCTGTGTGTGTGTGTGTGTGTGTCCAGTCGTCTCAGATTTGAGAAGATGAGTGATTTGGAGAAAAAGGAGGACAGATCAGAGGCTCCAGTGTCCAGCTGTCTGTCTTTGAAGAGTGACCAATCCAGAGATTTCCCTCCATTCTTCAGTAATGAGCCTGGACCCTCAGACACAAAGTAAGAGACTGTTTCTACTGTAAACTGACCTGAAGATGATTCAGTTTTTATATTATCTGATAATCTACACTACAACACTGTGTTTTTATAATGACATGAAGTATTGTTGTAGTCACTCACTGGGGATCAGAGTCCTTTAAATTTGTGTATCTACTGATACAGAGTCTGACCTGATACTTATATTTATCTAAGCATGGATTAAATGTGTATCTACATTGTAATAACAGCTGTAGCTGCTGAATCTGACACACCTTAATGCAACTTGATCCAAACACTGGTTCAAGGTACAAAGTTCGGCTTTACTGCCATTATACAATACAGGACTGCACAATAAAATGCATTTGTATCCTCCTCCAGGCAACATTCTGCAGAGGCTTGTAAATTAGACAGAACATTGTGAATGCACGTGTTTTCTGTGAACTGATGTCGTCTCTTATGCTGATGTCCTGCTTCTTGACTAAATTGATGATGTATATTGTAACTTTTGTGTGCTTCCAATGTTTTCTATGTCCTGTACTCAGGGCCTCCTTGTAAAAGAAAGCTTGCTCTTGCTTAATGGCCTTCCCAGTTTGAATAAAGGTTATAAATAGAAAAATAAACAGATATCGAAATATCTAACTTAAAATACAACAATAAAACAGGTAATGAAATATCAACATATCAGTAAAAGAAGATATCAGAAGGAAAATGTAATTATATTTACATGGGTATACAAATATAGTTATTATGGTTATGTATATATGTTGACACAAATATATACAGTACAGGCCAAAAGTTTGGACACACCTTCTCATTCAATGCGTTTTCTTTATTTTCATGACTATTTATATTGTAGATTCTCACTGAAGGCATCAAAACTATGAATGAACACATGTGGAGTTATGTACTTAACAAAAAAAGGTGAAATAACTGAAAACATGTTTTATATTCTAGTTTCTTCAAAATAGCCACCCTTTGCTCTGATTACTGCTTTGCACACTCTTGGCATTCTCTCCATGAGCTTCAAGAGGTAGTCACCTGAAATGGTTTCCACTTCACAGGTGTGCCTTATCAGGGTTAATTAGTGGAATTTCTTGCTTTATCAATGGGGTTGGGACCATCAGTTGTGTTGTGCAGAAGTCAGGTTAATACACAGCCGACAGCCCTATTGGACAACTGTTAAAATTCATATTATGGCAAGAACCAATCAGCTAACTAAAGAAAAACAAGTGGCCATCATTACTTTAAGAAATGAAGGTCAGTCAGTCCGGAAAATTGCAAAAACTTTAAATGTGTCCCCAAGTGGAGTCGCAAAAACCATCAAGCGCTACAACGAAACTGGCACACATGAGGAGCGACCCAGGAAAGGAAGACCAAGAGTCACCTCTGCTTCTGAGGATAAGTTCATCCGAGTCACCAGCCTCAGAAATGGCAAGTTAACAGCAGCTCAGATCAGAGACCAGATGAATGCCACACAGAGTTCTAGCAGCAGACCCATCTCTAGAACAACTGTTAAGAGGAGACTGCGCAAATCAGGCCTTCATGGTCAAATAGCTGCTAGGAAACCACTGCTAAGGAGAGGCAACAAGCAGAAAAGATTTGTTTGGGCCAAGAAACACAAGGAATGGACATTAGACCAGTGGAAATCTGTGCTTTGGTCTGATGAGTCCAAATTTGAGATCTTTGGTTCCAACCGCCGTGTCTTTGTGAGACGCAGAAAAGGTGAACGGATGGATTCCACATGCCTGGTTCCCACTGTGAAGCATGGAGGAGGAGGTGTGATGGTGTGGGGGTGTTTTGCTGGTGACACTGTTGGGGATTTATTCAAAATTGAAGGCACACTGAACCAGCATGGCTACCACAGCATCCTGCAGCAACATGCCATCCCATCCGGTTTGCGTTTAGTTGGACGATCATTTATTTTTCAACAGGACAATGACCCCAAACACACCTCCAGGCTGTGTAAGGGCTATTTGACCAAGAAGGAGAGTGATGGAGTGCTGCGGCAGATGACCTGGCCTCCACAGTCACCGGACCTGAACCCAATCCAGATGGTTTGGGGTGAGCTGGACCACAGAGTGAAGGCAAAGGGGCCAACAAGTGATAAACACCTCTGGGAACTCCTTCAAGACTGTTGGAAAACCATTTCAGGTGACTACCTCTTGAAGCTCATGGAGAGAATGCCAAGAGTGTGCAAAGCAGTAATCAGAGCAAAGGGTGGCTATTTTGAAGAAACTAGAATATAAAACATGTTTTCAGTTATTTCACCTTTTTTTGTTAAGTACATAACTCCACATGTGTTCATTCATAGTTTTGATGCCTTCAGTGAGAATCTACAATGTAAATAGTCATGAAAATAAAGAAAACGCATTGAATGAGAAGGTGTGTCCAAACTTTTGGCCTGTACTGTATGTATAAATAATCTGAAGATCCTGGCTCCAAACTATTACATTGATAAGCTTCAATTGTTGATCTGATATGAATCAAAGTTCAGCTGGAAGACTGTGACTCCTGAAACTGACATGCTGCAGTCAGCTAAAGAAAAGAGGTCTCACTCTGTTGGAGTTGTTGGAGCGACAGAAACACTGTGATTGTTCAGTGATGTTACGGAGTGGAGCTTCTTCTCACACTGATGATCTTTAGAAACACAGTAGGGTTTTAAATTTGTCAGACTTATTAACTGAGCCTGTGATATTACTTTGTTATGTGTTAATAGAAATCATTTTGTCAAAGAGGTTTCGAAGTTGCTCCAGAAATCTTCCACAAAGTTCAGCAGTAGAAAACTCTGTGAAAATCACATGCACTGCGGCTCATTAACATCTGAAGTTTGAAGGAATATTCTGCTAAACTAAAAAAGTGGAGACACAAATTTTGCACCACTGAAGGTGATAAGTGACAGTTTTAGTAAATATCTCCTCTGGTGGCTTCAGATGAAGAAACTGAAAGTAATGTTCAGTAGAATCTCCATGTTTCAGTCTGTCAGCCTCAGACAGTTGAATCTACTTTAAGGTGTCCCATCATCTGACGCTCATGTGGATTTCAAAGCAGTTCACCAGTTAAAGAATGAATGATGAGAGGATGAATTACTTGAGACATGTGATTAATCATTGTTCCAAAGTTTGTTTGAATTGCACAGCATGTCCAGCAAAAACACCAAAACTAAAACCACCTGAGGATCGACTGCCTCTCATCAAGAATAGTTTAACTGCAAGGAAATGTTGAAAGACATGAGGAAAGTTTGAGCCTTTTGAAAGTCGTCTCACAGTGGAGCAGAACATTACTCAGGAGGTTTTCATGAAGCTCCACCATGAGATATTTGAACTGCCAGGGATTAAGTGTGTGAATAAAACAAACTATTTCCACAAGAGGTGGCAGGACGAGGTCTAAAGAATGTGTTCATCTCTACAGAGAGAAGAAGAAGAGGAGTCGTGTTTCTGGGGAGGAGCAGCCGTCCTGCTGTGTTTTGTGTCAGGACGTCCTGAAGGATCCAGTCTCTACCAGCTGTGGACACTGGTTCTGCAGACAGTGCATCACCTCACATTGGGACCAGTCTGATTCATCAGGAGACTCCTCCTGTCCTCAGTGTGGGAAAAGATCCAGAACAAGAGCTGGACTGCAGACAGCCAGTCAGACCATCACTGTACAAAGTACGACTGTACATCTGTCCTCTGATGTGATCATGTCTAAACACAGGATTCTTCTTGATTTATTTCTTGTGTTGTACAGCATCGAACTTAAAGATTGTTATTAAAGTCATAAAATTTTAAACGCTTTAATTTAATGTTGGTCATGAAAATAATCATCAGCTTCTCTTTTCCTTTAGTCTCACATGTTTCCTTCTCTTTCAGCAGGTAGTGGTCTGCAGGAGGTTTTAGATGAACATAAGATCAGTCTGAGGAGGAGATGTGAACATGTGACTGAAGGAAGTGATGAAACAGGAAGTGAAACCCTCCTCAACAGGATCTACACTGAGCTCTACATCACAGAGAGACAGAGTGAAGAGGTTAATACCCAACATGAGGTGACACAGCTTGAGACAGCTTCCAAGAAGAAGATCCTCCATGACACTCCAATCAAGTGTCACAAAATCTTTAAAGCTTTACCTGACCAACAGAAACACATCAGAGTCGTTCTGACGAATGGCGTCGCTGGCATTGGAAAAACCTTCTCAGTGCAGAAGTTCACTCTGGACTGGGCCGAGGGTTTGGAAAACCAAGATATCAGTCTGGTGATTCTGCTTTCGTTCAGGGGGCTGAACTTGATCAAGTATGAGCAGTACAGTCTTCTCACTCTGCTCCATGTTTTCCATCCAACATTACAGAAGGTCACAGCAGAGGAGCTTGCTGTCTGTAAAGTTCTGTTCATCTTTGACGGCCTGGATGAAAGCAGACTGGCTCTGGATTTCCACAACAATGAGGTTGTGACTGATGTCACACAGAAGTCATCAGTCAACATGCTGCTGACAAACCTCATCAAGGGGAATGTGCTTCCCTCAGCTCTCGTCTGGATAACTTCCCGACCTGCAGCAGCCAATCAGATCCCTCCTGCATGTGTTGACAGGGTAACAGAAGTACGAGGCTTCACTGATGCCCACAAGGAGGAGTACTTCAGGAGGAGAGTCAGTGATGAAGAGCTGTCCAGCAGAATGATTTCACACATCAAGACATCCAGGAGCCTCCACATCATGTGTCTAATCCCAGTCTTCTGCTGGATCACTGCTACAGTTCTGGATCACATGTTGACTACAGAGCAGAGAGGAGAGCTGCCCAAGACCCTGACTGACCTGTACTCACACTTCCTGCTGGTTCAGACAAAGAGGAAGAAGCAGAAGTATGATGAGGAGCATGAGACGAGTCCACAGGAGCTGACGGAGGCTGACAGGGACGTTCTTCTGAAGCTGGGGAGGCTGGCGTTTGATCATCTGGAGAAAGGAAACATGTTTTACCAAGAAGACCTGGAGCGCTGTGGTCTTGATGTCACAGAGGCCTCAGTGTTCTCAGGAGTTTGTACAGAGATCTTCAAAAGAGAGAGTGTGATCTTCCAGCAAACAGTCTACTGCTTCGTTCATCTGAGCATTCAGGAGTTTCTGGCTGCAGTCTACATGTTCCACTGTTTCACCAACAGGAAGACAGAGGTATTGGAGGACTTCCTGGGGAAAGACTGGGATAATTACAGATTCCTGGATGTCGTCCTGGAGAAATATGGGAATAAATACAGACCCCTGAAGGACTTCCTGGGGAAAGACCGGGATAAAAACAGATCCCTGGATGTGTTTCTGAAGAAAGCCATGGAGAAATCCCTCCAAAGTGAAAATGGTCACCTAGACCTGTTTGTCCGTTTCCTTCATGGCCTGTCTCTGGAGTCCAACCAGAGACTATTGGGAGGCCTGCTGGGTCGTACAGACAACAGTCCAGAAATCATCCAGAGAGCCATCAAAAACCTGAAGAAGATGAGCAGTGATGAGATCTCTCCTGACAGAAGCATCAACATCTTCCACTGTCTGCTGGAGATGAACGACCACTCAGTACATCAGGAGATCCAAGAGTTCNTCTCCTGACAGAAGCATCAACATCTTCCACTGTCTGCTGGAGATGAACGACCACTCAGTACATCAGGAGATCCAAGAGTTCCTGAAGTCAGAGAACAGACCAGAGAAGAAACTCTCTGAGATCCACTGCTCAGCTCTGGCCTACATGCTGCAGATGTCAGAGGAGGTTCTGGATGAGTTGAACCTGAGGAAATACAACACAACAGAGGAGGGACGACTGAGACTGATTCCAGCTGTGAGGAACTGCAGAAAGGCTGTGTAAGTCCAGATGTGATTATGTGATCATAAATCACTGTAAATTAGTTCTTCAAATATATACACTATACAATTCTTATATTCCTTATTAACCTGGTAAAACAAATGAAGAAATTTAAAGGTTGTGGTTGAGAATTTATCACAGCAGCATTTCAGCCCAACATGTAGCAGTATGTTATGGTTATCAGTGAATGCAGTAAAGTTGTTATTACATAAGTAGGTTCTGAAGGTGATTTATATAATCAGATATGCAGATAATACCTGAGTTTCTTTTCTCCTAAACTTAAGAATTAAAAATAAGATCTGTATCATTTTTCAAAGCAGATTTCCGAAGTCCTAAAGAACGACTGTCATGCAGTTATTGCTATTGTTTTTTGTTTGTTTGTTTGTTTGTTTGTCTTTTAATGTAATGGTTTTGGAGCCACTTTATAGGGGGCACAGAGGATGTAAGGGGATGCCACACCTCCTTCTCAAAGAAAATGGACCAAAAAACAAATTAAGGGTTCTACTCACACTGTTTAAATAGCACAATACTATTTTTATGAGTTGCCTTTTAATTACTTTTAATTCTTCATGTCCTTTTTTTTTACATTTAAATACTTTCAGTCGATCTAAACGGGATATGTCAAACTGTTCCATGTTTCATAATTTGAATATTAAGTATTAAATATTAAGTGTTTCTTCCATAATAACAAATCTTTGAATATGTGTCATGACAGACTTTCTGGCTGTGGAATCCCAGAGACTCACTGTGGAGTCATGGCCTCAGCTCTTAAGTCCAACCCCTCCCATCTGAGAGAGCTGCACCTGAGTTTTAACTACTATCTGCAGGATTCAGGAGTGAAGCAGCTGTGTGCTGGACTGGAGAGTCCAAACTGTAGACTGGAGACTCTGAGGTCAGTTCACTTGTTTATGCAGTTTTCTTTTATATATTAAATTCAGATCCTTGATTGAGGTCACAGGATTTCACTTTTTCATAAATTTTCTGTCTTTCCAAATGGCTGAACAATTGGTAACAATAGTAGAGAAGTGATGATGTAAAAAGCACATCATCAAGTTTGAGATTCATTGCAACAAAATTTAAGATTCCTGAGGTTCTGAGTTATTCTTGTTTTCATGTCAACACTGACTAATTATTTGTGTCCTGGCATATTTTAAAAAATACAATTGTTCAGCCTCTTTTAAAAACAAACAAACCTTGGTCCATCTGTGCCAAATAACTATAAACCCATTTCAAAGCTGTCCTTTATTTACAAACTTTTAGAAAAAGTTGTTTTTAAACAGGTCATTGCTGTGCTGACCGAACACAAAATTCTCGATACATTCCAGTCAGGGTTCCGTCAGGGGCACTCCACCGAAACAGCCCTTCTTAGAGTCTCAAATGACCTAATAATGTCCTCTGATATCGGTGAATGTTCTGTTTTGGTACTGTTGGATCTCAGAGCAGCTTTTGATAGTGCGAATCACAGTATCTCTTTGGGAATGCCCTTGACTCGTTTTGCCCCTACCTTTCAAATAGGAGTTTCTCCGTGTCTCTTGGTCCTTTCAGCTTTGATACTGCTGCTCTTTCCTGTGGTGTACCTCAGGGCTCTGTATTAGGTCCTTTATTATTTAATCAGTATATGCCTTCACTTGGACATATTATTAGCCAGTTCTCAGGCATATCATATCACTGTTATGCTGACGACATTCAAATCTATGTCTCGTTTAAGCCTGATAACACAGACAAACTTGCTGTTCTTCACAACTGTTAGACTGCAATCAAGGACTGGATGTCAAACAACTACTAACAATTAAACACAGATAAGACAGAGGTTCTGATAATTGCTTCAGAAAGTATAGTTTCAAAGGTTGCCCAGAGTATTGGGTCCCTTTTGCCAGTTATACAGTTAAATTTTAGGAATCTTGGTGTTATCTTCGACCAGGCAATGCATTTTGATCATCATATTAAATTATTGGCCCGTACTTGTTTTATTTACCTCAGAAATTTTGCAAAGCTCAGGTCTGTGGTGTCTCGACCTTAGCTAGAGATGATTATCCATGCTTTTGTGTCCTCCGGACTGGACTATTGTAATTCACTTTTTACTTGTCTAAAGAAATCATCTCTAAACAGTCTTCAAATAATCCAGAATGCTGCTGCTAGGCTGTTAACCAGGTCCAACAGGTCAACCCATATCACTCCTTTTTTAGTTTCTTTACAGTGGCTTCCCATCAGGTTCAGGATCCACTTTAAGTTACTTGTTCTCACGTATAAAGCCCTCCACAGTCAGGCACCTGAGTACATAAGTGATCTCCTTCATTCATATATTGTCAGCAGGTCCCTTAGGTCTTCGGAACAGGACCTATTGGCAGTCCCCTGCTCCAGACTGAAAACAAAAGGTGACTGTGCCTTTGAAGTCGTGGCTTAGACACTATGGAACTCCCTTCCATTGGATTTATGGTCGGCAGTCTCAACTTTTAAGTTTAAATAAACACAAGAAATTTGTGCTCTAGAGAAAGGATCAGCACTCAGTGAATAACCTCCTAAGCCCTATGATAAGCTATTGTCGCAAGGCTTAACTATACAGACCAGTGAGCAGTGATAACTAACACATCTTTGGGGTCATCAGGTAGGAACCTCCTTTCACCAGTGTTTCATCTAGTTGGTACCATGACACCTCCAGGAGGCTAGACAGTGATCTCTGCCGTCCTAGAGATACTCCCTTAATGCCAGCTCTCACTGCTCCCCGCACCGACCCAACAACTTCTTTTACCTTACTTACACATGGCTTTCTCAGCCCAAACAGCACTGCCACCTTCAACAAACCCAGGCTCCGTTTATGCGAGCTCCAGGTAGTGATACTAACTTTCTTAGCACAATCACCATATCCTATTTCACATGCTACGTATCATAACTCCAATATAAGCTAAAGTTAAAGAAGACAGAGAAGATTAACTCACAGAATCAGCAAACACACTCACCTTGCAGCATGGTCTCAAACAAAAGGGACTCAAATAGGCCACTCCCACACTTAAATAACGTTCCTCTTCCTGGATTTTCTTCTGAGAGGTCTGATTGGTGGATCTCTCCACCTGATCTCAAGGAGTTATGTACATTGCTTAGTAGGTCCCCTGCTGGCCCCCAACTGACATTTTCCTCCTAATCCAAATCCACTGACTAGATCTAGCTGTTTCATCTTTTAAAATACAACTGAAGACCCATCTTTTCAAATTGGCCTTTGACCCACTGGACATTGTCTAGTGCTTGTTACTCTAGTATGTTTAAGCAATATCACACAAAAGGGAGTGATGTTTTACTGTATGTCGTCATGACTGATATTCGGTCATAGGCACGAGGCCACAGGCCGAGTGCCGAAGACAATTACAGCCGTGACGATATACAGTACAACATCACGACCTCGAGTGTGATATTGCTTTTATACAACAGTTCAACAACAGCTTAAATAGCAATGCTGAGTAAGGAAATGTTAACAAAAAGGTGATGAAATAAATTATTTAAGTATGTTATGTAGCTCTGCGAAAAAGAACAGTTCCCCCAGTCTGTTGCCAGGCAACGCAACACACACGCCAGGAACTCACAAGCTACTTTGTATTTACATTGATCAGCAACTGTGTAACTTCGTCCAGTTTGGCTGATGAAACTTTGGCAAACTTGGATGTTGGCACTACCAAATTCAAACACACCTGGAGGTCTGCACAGAAGAGTCCTGGCTTTCCTTTTCCTCGTCCTCTCCTGACAACCAATCATAATTTAATAAGTTTCAAAAGTAATTTTGGGGAAAATATCCATCTTCTTGGTGTAACGCTACAGTGTCAGTTTGCATCAATGTAGCGAGTGTGACAGTTGGTTAATTAATGCTTGTATATATTTATAACACCTGTGAGCAGAGTGATTTTACTGTTACATGTCCCAGTACTGTTGTACTCTATATCAACACTCATGGAATACCTCTTGTCCAATCAAATTACTTGGTCGGAAGTAACTGACCAGCCCGCGGCTTCCCTCCCACGTCACTGGGACAAGATGGCGGCAGCGGTGGGTGCTGCTGGTGGAGGCTCTGCTTGCCCTCGCACAAAACCTGCAATCTACAAAACGGATAATGGAAAGGTGATAGTGGAAGATGAACTGTTAAACTTTATCGTGGTTAAAATGAAGACACTAAGCCATGATGAAATTGTTTTGTTGACAACAAACAACTTTTCATCTGAGTGGATTGAGGAGTCCAAGTGGCTTTTGTTTGATGTATGCCCGAATACCACGCTTCGCTGTGTCGCACACAAAGGCCTACAGAAGGACATAAATAATATCAAGGCCTGTCTGAAGGTCCTAAATGAGTGCGGTGAAAATATTCCACGGTTTGTTTTACATTACTTGGATGAACTGCCACCTGTTGGGTATGGTAATATGGATGCCTCGGCGCTGCTTAGCCGAGTGGAGCAGCTGAACCAAGAAGTCTCTGGCCTGAGGAGGGCATTGGAAACACAGGCAGAAGTGAGTGAGAACTTGGGGGCAATTATTGTGGCCATGGATCGCCGAGTGACAGCAGTGGAGACGCACCGCACATCGGACTACGACCCTGGGACTACCGGTACTGCATGAGAGGGGGTGCGGGGGCTAACAGGCCCTGTTCGTCAGGAGGAGTCAACAACATCTCCCGCTGGGAAGTCTTGTCTCCTGGGACTGGACACCGGGATCGCCGGCACCTCACGCAGGGGGGTGAAGGGGCTGGTGGGCTATGATGAAAATTGATTATGATTTGGATACCACGGACCATATACCCTTTCTCATGGTGTTGAACACAGGCAATTTACCAGTGTTGTTGCCTGTGGATAAAGGCATTGGTGTAGGGAAAATAGTCTAAGAAAGATCTTAATAAATATGTCAATCATTCTGATGCTTTGCTGGGTAATATTAAGGTCCCAAAAGATGCGTTATTGTGTCAGGATATGAACTGTAAGAATGTACAACACTGTAAGGAATTATATTCCCTGTATGAAGCTATTGTGGAGTCTCTCGGTATCTCAAGCAGGTCTCTATATAAACACAGGACAAAAGTGTGCAATGCTAAGCCAGGTTGGAAGGATCATGTAAAAGAGCTCCATGCAGAGGCCCGAAATGCTTTTAAAAAATGGTCTCAGTCAGGCAAAAGCAGACTTGGCCTTTTGTTTGAAAATAAAAAATGCACTAATGCTAGATTTAAATATGCACTTCGCTATATTAAAAGAAATGACAATACTATCAGGTGAGATTCACTGGCAAGGAAGCTGCAAAAAATAATGTTAATGAGTTCTGGAAAGAAGTAAAAACTATTAATAACTGCAAAACATCTCTTCAATCTAATATAGATGGTGTGAGTGGTCCTGATGAAATTTCACAGTTATGGTGGACACAGTATTATGAACTGTTAAACTGTGTAAAAAGTAATCTGTTTGTAGAGTTTAATGATGATGATATTGTCACTTCTGCTGAAGTCCATGAAGCAGTACTGAAGTTAAGAGATAATAAGGCCTGTGGTCTGGATAATATTACAGCTGAACATATTAAACTTGCCAGTAAGAAACTGTGCCCTCTGGTGGCTATGTGCTACACAGGTTTTCTTGTTCATGGAGTGTTACCTGATTCTATGATTTTTGTTGTGCTAGTACCAGTTATCAAAGATAAAGTGGGGAAGCTGAACAGCTCAGATAATTACAGGCCAATAGCTCTGGCCAGTGTCATGTCCAAAGTGCTGGAGACAGTTCTACTGTGTAGACTTGAGAGGTACATCCTGTCCACTGACAACCAATTTGGTTTTAAATGAAACCATGGCACTGATTTATGTATTTTTGCACTAAAGGAAATTTTAGATAAATATAATAGGCAAAATTATACAATGTTCATGTGCTTCATTGATGCTTCTAAAGCATTTGATCGTGTAAATCAAGAGAAATTATTTCTAAAATTGTCTAAAAGTGGGGTCCCTGGTTTTTTAATTAGAATCTTGGTTTATTGGTACTCGCATCAGACAATGAGAGTGCGATGGGGGAATGTAACATCTGTTCCCTTCCATGTGACCAATGGTGTTCACCAGGGCAGAATTTTGTCTCCTTTTCTTTTTAATATGTATGTGAATGATTTGTCTTTGATTTTAAATGCATGTGGTACAGGTTGTAGGGTTGGTGACTCACTAATTAATCACCTTATGTACGCAGATGATTTGATCATCTTTAGCCCATATAGTGCTGGTCTCCAACAGCTTCTGAGAATATGCACACAGTATGGTGCTGATTTTGATATAAAATACAACGCTAAAAAGAGTAAGATCATGATTGTCAGAAGTAGAGAAGACAGACAGTCCTTCCTGAACCTTCCCTGACTTCTGTCTGTCTAGCACTGCACTCAGTGTGTGCAGTGAGATTACATATTTGGGCCATATTATCGCAAATGACCTGTCTGATGACAAGGATATCTTTAGGCAGTGACGGAAGCTGTATGCCCAAGCAAACATGCTGTGTTGTAAGTTCAGCATGTGCTCTGTATCTGTGAAGATCTCACTCTTTAGAGCGTATTGTACACCTTTGTATACTGCCTACCTGTGGTGTCGTTATAAACAAGGCAGCATTAGGAAACTCACAGTGGCTTATAATGACAGCATGAGGCTGCTGCTGAGAGCTTCAAGAAGCTCAACTGCAAGCCATATGTTTGTTAGTGTCTGGATGATGTCTGCAGACGGCAGACATTATGATGATCCACAATAACACAATGACAAAGTCACTCCACTCATTTGGGAAAATCTCATTGATTAGGGCATAGTAATATTGAGCTACACATTTAAAAGCTGAACACATCTGATTGGATTCTTTATAACCGTTATCTACATAATTATTCAGTCTACGTTATTCTTTATTCAGGTTGAGGGACTGCAGGTTGTCAGAGATCAGCTGTGTTTCTCTGGCCTCAGCTCTGAAGTCCAACCCCTCCCATCTAAGAGAGCTGGAGCTGAGTCACAATGAGCTGCAGGATTCAGGAGTGAAGCTGCTGTGCGATTTTCTGGAGAGCCCACACTGTAGACTGGAGACTCTGAGGTCAGACACAATTTTTTACTCTTTTGCTGAGATAAACACATGAAAGTTGTGGTGGCTTCGATATTATGACTCCACAATTTCAGAAAAGAAATACTGTTGATGCTTTTTGTTCACATTTTTCAAAATTAAAAACGTATTTGACATCTTTGGGATCTTGAGTCAAATATTAGTCTTGATATTGTGCTAGAGACCCTTTTTTCTCTTGCCTTTGCAAGTCAAATATGACCCAAACACAGTAGGAGGGTTAAATCAATTTCTGTGGGTTTTTATTTGTGTTTGGCTGCACATTATCAGTTCCTGATGATGGAGCCACTGGTGGAGCTGGCAGAGTTCAAGAGGTGTTTTTATCGAAGTAGCAGCATGTTATTAATATTAATAAGAGCTCCTTTTTCATTTTAGTATGTTAAAGTTTTCGACTTGCATCCTGTTGGGTTCAGGTGTTTAAGTTTCCATTTTCCAAACTTCTGTATTCTAAACCTTCTTTAGCTCTGAACACATTATTCAACACTGAATTATTTCAGGCATAACACTGTCTTCTCAACTGACATCATTTATTCTTTATTCAGATTGAGTTCCTGCAGGTTGTCAGAGATCAGCTGTGTTTCTCTGGCCTCACCTCTGAAGTCCAACCCCTCCCATCTGAGAGAGCTGGAGCTGAGTAACAACAACCTGCAGGACTCAGGAGTGAAGCAGCTGAGTGCTGGACTGGAGAGTCCAAACTGTAGACTGGAGACTCTGAGGTCAGTTCAATTGTTTACATAGTTATTTTGGTATATATTGAACTGTTATAGATCTTATATATTTGAGTAACAATGGGACCTTATGTATTTACATATAGATAACTTATATCCACAAAAAAAATAACATTTCCATCTGTTAATTTCTTTTTTCTTGTATAAAGTAAAATGCAATCACAAAAACATGAAAATGTCCACAGTTTTTTGTGACAGTAAATGTTTGTTTATATGTTTGGTTAATGGTCACATCTATACACAGAAGATCCTCTGAACTAATATTTGTTTTTAATTCACAGAGTTTATAAAGTATTGATTCATTATTAATCTTTGTTGACATGAATAGGTGTACGAATGTTCTATTGACATTTGGATATCTGTAGTAGGCTGACATTATGATGACCCACAGTAACACAGTGAATAAGTCACTCTACTTGTTCTAGGGAAAAGGTCATTGATTAGGACATAGTAATGTTGAGCTACACATTTAAAACCTGCACTCATCTTATTGGATTATTACTGACTTTTATCTACATCATTTATTCTTTATTTAGATTGAGTTCCTGCAGGTTGTCAGAGATCAGCTGTGTTTCTTTGGCCTCAGCTCTGAAGTCCAACCCCTCCCATCTGAGAGAGCTGGAGCTGAGCAACAATGACCTGCACAATTCAGATGTGATACTGCTGTCTGATCTTGAGAGGAGTCCACACTGTAAACTGGAGACTCTGAGGTCAGTAGAGGGCTGGATTCAGTAGTATTGTGCTAAATTCAGTTTGTATCAAAGTAAAAATCCAGTATTTTCTGTAAACCTTCGAAGGTTTAACACAGGGAAGACAGGAAGGAAAGATAGAGAGAGCAGTCAGCCAATCAGATCAGCCAGAGGCTTGTTGTGATCATGTGTTTAAGTTGATGTGAAGATGACTGTTGTGTTCATGTCCACAGAAAGTGAAGCTGGATTACAGTTGACAGCATCACAACATGTATAGAGACAGCTGTCCTCCTTCATCAAACTATCTCATCATCAAATCTGATCTCAAAGGAAACCCATTATGCTTTGACGCTTATATTCTGTCATATATAATATTACAATGTTGGATGTTCAAACATGGCCAAAGTTTTAAATGATGAGGTAAACTATGTAGAAGTAATTACTGTGAGTAAAAACCTAAGACTGAATACTTTTATACTTTTCATTGTAGAAAGTGATGCTATTCTCCGTTATTATCAGTTATTTTCCAGCTGACCAATCAGAGCAGACAGGGCTTTTCAGGAAGGAGGCTTAAAAAGACAGGCACTAAAATGTTTCATACAGAGGGTAAATACAGGTGTTCCAGCACAGACAGCATTAGGAAAATAAACATATTCTAGCAGAAACCTTAAATACAAGTATGAACCTGAACATGAGCATAACAGATCCTCTTGTTTGTTCTCGTCATCTCTGTCACAGCTCTGAGATCAGTCTGTGTAGAGCCTGCAAAGTGGTGGCTTTTATTTCGAAGAACCATCATTACATTTAGTAACCATGTGGTCTTTAAACAGAGCAGAACCTCTGCTGAAGTCCAGTAATCACAGCTGATGTGTTGCTGTTCAGTCTCTGTATCAACAAATTGAAATTATATTAATTCTACAACAGAAAGTGAATATCTGTTTGATGATGCTTTCAGGACTCTGCAGTTTATTCAGTTTATTTACACTGTGCACTTCAGTGAAATCTGCAGAGTAAACAGTCTTGATGCCCAAAGTTTCTGCAGATCTGTGAGCTTCAAGCTCAGCTGATTTATGACTTCTTTTGTCTGTCGTCTTCTTCTCTCATCAGCTGGAGGTGGTGATCTCAGAGTGTCAGAGTGAGTGATCAGCAAGGTGGATGTGTTGAGACGATCAGCTGTGTCCTGATGATCCAGAGAGGTTGAAGCAGCAGCATCAGCTTGTGAATGGAGAGACACTGACTGGACCATGTTACTGGGAGGTGGAGTGGAGAGCAGAGCTTCATCCAGCAGTGACTAACAGAAGAATCACAAGAGGTGGAGATGACTCTCATCATCAGCTCCACTGTCAAGTTCATCATAATCCCTTTGTGTTCCTCTGGATCTGACCGAGTATCATCATCAGTGTATCACTGACTGCTCTGTTCTTCTCCTCCACTCCTTCTGCTCCACACTCAGCCACCTCCTCCACCCTCCACCTGGACGTGAGTCTGGATTTTGTAGATAGATATGCTGAATCTGACTCTGTAGATTTCTACTGTTTAACAACATCACAGTAAATTTACAGTCATTTAAACGGCACTCAGGCTGCTCAGATTACAGTGAACTAGTGTAAGACCTGTGATTGTCTCTGTATTGTTTTGTGTTGCACCTCCACACTGTGGAATGATGGAGAACTGCTGTTCATGTTCACATGATCCTGTATGTTGGAGGTTGATGTCAGGATGCAGAAGTCTGCAACTACATTTAATCATTCTGATCACTGAGATTATATTTCTGTATATATGATCTTTTTGCTTCTACATATGTATGTTCCTATTTTATTTGAATAATATATTCTGTAGCAGAGTGCATCAATTTTTGAGCCATGGTGGTTTTATATTTGTAAAACTTTCTTTAAAAATCTGTGACGACATCACAATGTAAAGTCAATGAGCTAAGAAGGAACTTGAGGGCGGGGCCAGTAAGAGAAACATTACAATGCATATTCAGTGGGCCACATACTGTGGGAAGTTAAGACCTTTTTTGGTGTATGCGCCAGGCAAGCAGATCCATTGGAATTAAAAGGCACCATCTTGGCATATGATTGCTAATTATTATTAAAATCTGTGCAGCAACCTCAAGTGAGTCAGTATCATAAACTATATAAAGATGGATGACATGACTCCACTTTCCCCCACTGTACAAAAATTAAGCCAAAATATCCTGGATATAACTGCTGCCATTTTGCTCTGGTGACATCATTTAGAGCTAAAGTCAAGCAGTAGTGATCTCCACCAGTGGTGACTTCCCATCCACACACCCATCTGACAGATAGTGAGCAGCACAATAGATAGCGAGCACACCGATTTGCACACACAGCTGTCAGTCATGTCCTCAATTCCACGTATATTTAACATCAAGTTACTAGTTATAACCAAGCTTATTAGAAAAAACACCTGAACACACAGCAGCATGATAAGAACTAACTAAAATAATAGGAACCAGACTGTTTATTTTGGCCCATGTCCTATCCACGAACATGGAGGGGGCAGGGTTACATATACAGCAGCCAGCCACTGGGGACGAGATGTTTTGGCTTCACTTTTGGGGAGCTGTCACATTGTCCATCTTTATACAGTCTATGGTAAGTATAGCTGGGGCGGGAGCAGTTAAGTAACTTGCCCACCATCAGTCTACAATCAGTCCCCTTTGCCCCTTGGTCTGGAAGGGGCAAAGGGGAACATCCGTTCCTCTGTTAAAAATCTCGGTGTGACCTTTGACAGTGCTTTTAAATTCGATAAACAAGTTAGATCAGTAATACAAACCAGCTTTTATCAGCTCAGGCTTTTAGCTAAAGTAAAGGGCTATCTCTCCCCCCAAAATCTAGAGAGGGTAATCCATGCTTTTATAACCTCACATCTGGACTACTGTAACTCGCTTTATGTCGGTATTGACCAGTCACTGCTACACCGTCTACAGCTTGTCCAGAACGCAGCAGCCCGCCTCCTCACTGGAAAGCGTAAAAACGAACACATAACACCAATCTTGGCCTCACTCCACTGACTTCCAGTGCGTTTTAGAATTGATTTTAAGATTTTATTGATTGTTTTTAAAGCCCTAAATGGGCTGGCACCCCCTTATTTAACCGAACTCCTGCACTTTCATGCTCCCTCCAGAGCCTTGAGATCAGCCAGTAAGCTATTACTGGCTACTCCTAGGACTAGGCTGAAGACCAGAAGTGACAGAGCCTATGGGGCAGCTGCCCCTAGGCTCTGGAATAGCCTGCCCCTGCACATTAGGTCTGCCCAGACCCTAGAGGTTTTTAACTCTTTTCTTAAAACCCACTTCTTCTCTCTGGCTTTTAACTCAGGTTGAGCTGGACACCCAAACATTTTATCTTATTTTTATCTTATTTTATAACTCTTGTATTTTATTTTATTTTGTTGTATTGTATGTTTATGTATCTTATGGTTATTATTGTGGTGTACTAGGTACCTCATTGTATTTGCTTGTTTATTTCTATTGACCTGTTCAGCACTTTGGTCAACCTTGGTTGTTTTAAATGTGCTTTATAAATAAAGTTTGAGTTGAGCTGAGTTGGAAGTGGAACCCCTAAAGAAAATGCTGAGTTAGAATTTAGCTAGCTGTGAAGAGTTTGGTTAAAAGAGAGGCGGTTAGGATAATGGTAATGGTGAGGGGTACACCTCGCTACTTATAGTGGATTATTGGTGCTTTTGGCCTCATATTTATTCTCTACAATGTCATGTTGTAGCAGGGTTCAGATAGCTGTCATGTCGGAGGATTTGTCTTATGCTGGTGGTGGGTGTTATCTGAAGGAGGAATGTCATGTAGGCTCCTAATGATATGTGGCTGCAGTTATACATGTCTCACCTCAAGACCCCAGGAACGCCATCCAGCATTGCAGCCAATTTTTTTTTCCAGTGGCCACTTGAGGTATTGCAACAAAACATCCCGTGCAGCCCAAAAAACATATTTCCCCACAGATAATTACTTCTCTCTTTATTGAAACTTCCATATTCATGAGAACAGATGAAGTTGTGACAGTACTGTTAGACAATATCTATTATGAAAGTACTAAATAACACCATAGGGACGATGTTGCAAAATAAAGTCAGACTTGGTACCTTAATATTGCATTTAATCTACTTGCATGAACTCTAGTGATACTGACTGTGGCAAAGGTGATGGTGGTGATGATGACAACAAGTATTGTTGTTTAGCATGTCAAACAAACAATTATGTTTTGTTTTTTAACTTAGTTTTTATTTAGAATCCAGCAACTTATACATAGGGGTGTCAAATTATCACGTTAATTGCGAATAATTAATTACAGCCATATTTAACGTGCTATGTTTTTTGATCGCGTTAATCTCATTTTTAATCTCTAACTTTACTGTTTCTGTATGCCACAGAGTTGCCTTTTATAAAATCCGTCTGTAGGCGTACGATTGGGCTTCTTTGTGCTTGAGTTGTGGGAGAGCTGCAGCGCCACAGAGCAGAGCCCAGCAATGATGACTGTCCCCTGCAGTGGTGGTCTGCTCACTCAGGAGCCTATGAAAAGCTGTCTGCCCTAGCACGCAAGTATCTGACCTTCTCGGCAACCTCCGTGTAATTTTCGGGACAATCAGGGCAGGATTCAGGATTCAAGACAACTGCTTGGATTTCGTGACTGTGCCAAAAAATTCGGGACAGTCCCGAAATCCAAGCAGTTGTCCTGAATCCTGAATCCTGCCCTGATTGTCCCGAAAATTACACTAGAGCAGAGTCTGGAGTAGTTAATGCCCGATAAAACATTAAAAACTGATCATGGTGGTTGAGTTGTCATGCAGCTCCCACCGGCTGCACATTGGCTGCAGCAGTTCCTACATGAATTATGGGTGTTGTAGTTTGAAGAAGAGAAGACAGCGCAAGTTGCAGCCGCAAGGACAGGGAAAGCGCAGGCAGCCACGAGAAGGAGTGATTTGCACGTTGCAGTGCAGCCTCTTGTTCTAACTGTTCAAAACTGCTCTATAAACTGATTTAGCTATAACGAATGTACCAGGTGTCTTTTATTTTGTTAGCTTTTATTTTTTATTAAGTTTAAAGAACAAGTGCACTTAAATTGATAACTTCCATGAAATAAAACGAGAAATTAAAAAAGAGAAAAATAATTTAGAAAATTGTTAAAATAAAATTAGGGAACTGATCACAGATGTATTGTTTCTGTGTGTTTTTACATCTATCGCTGCGTTAATCTGCAGCTATGCTATTAATGAAGCTGACATGTCATGACAGTCAAGCATCCCCCTGAAGGTCGAGACTGAAGGTTGCAGCACTCTTTCCTGGGACGAATCCCAAAAACAATAGAATGTAATGGCTAGGTGTACTGCATCTGTGTTCAAGAGTGTTATTGTTGAAAACAACAAATATGACTTTATAAAACCACTTTTTGTAATATACAGTACAGGCCAAAAGTTTGGACACACCTTCTCATTCAATGCGTTTTCTTTATTTTCATGACTATTTACATTGTAGATTCTCACTGAAGGCATCAAAACTATGAATGAACACATGTGGAGTTATGTACTTAACA